AACTCTTTGCAAGCTCTCAGAAAAAAATCCCTATGACTGATATCATTGGAACTTTGCATGTGAATAAGGGGTATTCTCGGGCTTCTCTTCTAACACACTTCAACATTCTTTCTACAGCTATGTCTCTCCTTCCTCAGCTGAAATTCTGTGGCCACTGGGGCTGACTCTGCCTTCCTCAGAGTCTTCCCCGGGGGAGCTCAATTATAGTGGCATTGTTGGGTTTAGTTGATAGGGGGCCCTGATTGTACAGGTTACCACTTTCCATGGTGTAAATAGTTCTTACCATCATGGTTGATTTCCAATTACCAAATGGCTAACAACCCGTTTGTAAAACTTCTGAATATTTAACAATGACTCTCAGCAGCCAGTCTGACCGGCTCCAGATACACTGGTTCAAGGCAAGCCCTGGGGCTTGTAAGAACATATTGATTGAGTTGTAGGTGGGATGGGAGTAAGGGAGGGAAGGGCCTTCACGCATTTCTGCCCACCAGCTCCTTAGCTTCAGAGTATTGGAAAGATTTAGAGACTCAGGAAAACTCTGAGCTCAAAACCTTGTATAATTCTGGGCAAATTTCTACTCTATAAAGCAGGATTAATAAAACCTACCTGTGGGATTTCTAGAAAGATGGAATGCACCAGCTCCTTAGCTTCAGAGTATTGGAAAGATTTAGAGACTCAGGAAAACTCTGAGCTCAAAACCTTGTATAATTCTGGGCAAATTTCTACTCTATAAAGCAGGATTAATAAAACCTACCTGTGGGATTTCTAGAAAGATGGAATGCAACACCTAAATAAAATGTCTAATATACCCCAAGTTTTCAATAAATGCTTTGGGGTGGGGAGAGGGTCATATCTGTCAGTGTCAGGGACTATTCCAGACCCCACACTTAGGGGTCACTCCTAAGAGTGCTCAGGGAATGAGGTGGGCTGGGGTGGGGGTTGGGCAAGGCAAAAAAAAAAAGAGTGCTCAGGGGGACTATGAGGTGTCAGGGATCAAATTTGGGTCTGCTCACTCTAGTAGTGGGATTGGTGGTGGAATTAATGTTGGAACATTTAATGCCTGAAGTAACTGTATTAAGAACAACTTGGTAAATCACTCTGTTATAATGTTTTATTAATAGAAGAGACCAGGGCAACAGTACAGCAGGTGGGATATTTGCCTTGCACATGGCTGAACTAGGTTCGATCCCCAGCACCCCAGATCGTCCCCCCAACAATGCCAGAAGTGATCTCGAGCACAGAGTCAGGAGTAAGCCCTGAGTATCACTGGGTGTGGCCCAGAAGTAAACAAACAAATCTGGTCTTCCTGCATGCAAAGCACTTGCTCCAGTCCTCTGAGCTATCTCGCAAATACCTAAGTGCTCTTTCTTTTGACCTCAACCCTGCTTTAATTTTTCCTGTAAATCAAACGATTATCTCCCAAAGGGTCCAACAGGGGGAGCCCAAACTCAACAATGCCAGTGGTGGGGGCTAGTAATTTATCATAGCAGTTTGGGCTTCAATTTCAGAAATTTAGAGGAGCGTAGATCTTTTTCCTCTCTGGATTTTCTCGTATCTTCATCCCAGAAGAGGTTAAACCATCAAAACACTCCATTATACGGAGTACTATGTAGCTGTTAGAAAAGATGAAGTTATGAAATTTACATACAAGTGGTACTACATGGAAAGTATCATGTTAAGCGAAATGAGTCAGAAAGAGCGGGATAGACACAGAAAGATTGCATTCATCTGGGGAACATAAAGCAACAAAAAGGGAGACTAACACCCAGGAATAGCTGAGATTAGTACCAGGAATTTTGCTCCATGACTTGAAGGCCAGCCACACGTGCTAGGTGAAAAGGAAGCTCAGATAGAGAAGAGAGCACCAAATAAAGGGTGTTGTGAGGACCCTCCCAGGGTGGGAGAAGCATGCTAAAAGTAGTCTATAGACCAAACATGATTGCCACTCAATGCCTCTCTTGCAAAACACAGTACCCAAAAGAAGAGAGAGAGAACAAGGGGGAATGCCCTGCACAGAGGCAGGGTAGGACGGGGGTGGGGGGGGGGGATGCTGGGACCCGTGGAGGTGGAGGATGGGCACTGGTGGAGGGATGGGTACTTGATCATTGTATAACTGAAACCCAAGCACAAAAATTTATGTCTATAACTGTACCTCATGGTGTTTCACTAATAAAAAAATAAAAATAAATAAGAAAAAACACTCCATTATACATTGGAAGTTATGTCACCTGGCTTCTTTCTCCTCTGATATGCCAAGCTAATCCCAGAATCAAACACCAGAGTCTGCAGCTGGGGAAATGGCTCAAAAGGTGGGAGCACATGCTTGAATACTGTAACCCCATATATGATCCCTGGCACTGCATGATCCTCTGAGCACTGCCAGCAATAACCCTTGAGTATTGCACTGGGAGTCGTTCCCAAAGCATCAACGTGTGTGGCCTGAAGACAAGCAAACAATAACAGTGACCAGAGCAAGGGCATGGAACAGACACCAAGTCCTTCATATAGTGCAGAGCATAAAACTCACCACATTCCTCATAAGCTTCCACATTAAATCTGGCCCCATAATAGGAATTTATGATAAAATTGAGCTGTGGAAGGTTGTGGTAAGGTATATGGAAATTTCCAACTATAACACCACCATAAAGGGAAATGGAATCTTTGTCTCTGTGGTCGGGGGAGGGGGGCTGAAAAAGGGAAATGTCAAAAAGCAGGAGGTCCAGGAAATTCTGTAGATTTGAGATTCACAGACAATGTAATCACTAGATAATAGAAAACAGCAGCCTATGAAATTTTGAGAAAATCTGGTTGGTTTTATGTGTGTGGGGGGAGAGGGAGTGTGGGTGTAAGAGAGGAGAGAGAGAGAGAGAGAGAGAGAGAGAAAGAGAGAGAGCGAGCGAGAGCGCTTTTGGTGCCCTGGGAAAGTTCCAGAACACAAAAGCTCTTCATTAGAAATGAGTAAAAAACCTTAGGTTTTGAACTGCCTGCTTTCCAGTTGACTTGCCTACGCCACCGATTATTCAGCGTCTCTGGTCTCAGTCACTCGTTTATTTATTCAGTCATCCAATCTTCATTGTATGTGTCAGGCAGGGAGCTAAGTGAATCCTCAGGAAATAGTGATGAGCAAAACCAGGTATACTGGCTTTGCTCATGGAGCAGACAATTCATACATCTGCAAAAAGGCACAGCCAGATGTAACAACTGGATGCACATATACAAAAGAAGAAAGTTGGATCCCTAATTCATAACAATATTGAAATTAACTCAAAATAAATTATAAACCTAAATGGAAGTGCTAAAATGTTAAGTCTTGTAAGAAAACATAAAAGTCAATTTTTGCAACCATGGGAAGGGATCAGGATTCTTGGATATGACTCCAAATGCACAAGTACCAAAAAAAAAAATAGTAGATATAATTGGGCTGGAGTGATAGCACAGTGGGTAGGGCATTTGCCTTGCATGTGGCCGACCCAGGTTCGATTCCCAGCATCCCATATACTCCCCCAAGTACTGCCAGGAGTAATTTCTGAGTGCATGAGCCAGGAGTAACCCCTGTGCATCGTCGGGTGTGACGCAAAAAGCAAAAAAAAAAATAGTAGATATAATAGACTTTTTCAAAATGCAAAACTTTGTACTCAAATGACACCATCAAGAAGATGAAAAGATGACCCAGAGAATGAGGTAAAATATTTGTAAATTAGGGATCTGAGTGATAGTATAGCAGATAGTTCAGCACTTGTCTTGCATATGCCATCTGGGATTCGATCACTGGCACCCCGAGTACCTCCAGGAGTGATCCCTGAGTGCAGAGCTAGGAATATGCCCTGAGCACTGCAAGGTATAGCCCAAAAGTCAAAAAGGAAAATTTTGTAAATCATTTATATCCTATGGGGCTTGCATAGATAGAATATATAAAGATGTCTTACAAATCAGTAAGAAAAAGACATATTAACCTGATTTTAAACCGGGTAAATGATATGAATAAACATTTCTCCAAAGACATAAAAGTGGTTAATAAGCATATTTTAAAATGTTCCACATTATTAGTCATCAGGGAAATGCACATCTGAACTATAGTGAGATACTTCTTTTTTTTTCTGGCTTTGCACTCAGGAATCATTCCTGGTGGTGCTCGGAGGAACATATGGGATGCTGGGAATCAAACCCAGGTTGGCCACGTGCAAGGCAAACTCCCTACCCGCTGTGCTATCACTCCAGCTACTTCTTTACCCCCACTAAGATAGCTAGAATAAAAAGGGCAGACTGAAGAGCCTGAGAGATCATATGATCAGTAAGGAATTTGCCTTGCATGTGGTTGACCCAGTTTGAACCATGGCACCACATATTATTCCCTGAGCACCAGCAGGAGTGATCATTAAGCACAGAATCAGGAGTCAGCCTGAGCATCACCAGGTGTGCTCCCCCACCCCCCCAAAAAAAAGATTGGGAAAAGGTGGGGCCAGGGAGATAGTAGAGGGGTTAAGGTGTATGTCTCGGCGGGGCCAGAGCAATAGTACAGCAGGTGGGGGGTTTGCCTAGCATGCAGCCGACCCGGGTTCAATCCCCGGCATTCCATATGGTTCCCCAAGCACCACCAGGAGTAATTCCTGAGTGCAGAGCTAGGAGTAACCCCTGAGCATTATTAGGTGTGACTCACCCCAACAAAAAAAGCAAAAAAAAAAAAAAGGTGTGTGTCTCCCAGGTGGATTAATCATCAGCACCACATAGTCGCCAAGCACCCCTAGATGCAGTACTGGTGGCCCCCGCACGCAACCAGGATGACCCCGATAATCCCTGCTTTCACAGGACCCAGGCAGCACTACATCCTCATATAGTTGCAGCCTTGTTGGCTGAGAGTCCCTTGGAGGGACCCCTGGTTCTCTTGAGCACTGACTGGGAGCCCCCCCACAAAAAAGATAGACTGAAGAAATCAGAACCCCTACACATTACTGGTGGGATTGTCACATGACACTAGAGAACAATCTGAAATGCCCTTTCCTGTGCCTCTTAAAGCTGGCTCGGTGCGCTCAGAGGCTAACACAGAAGGGTAAAGTGATTCTCCATAACCCAGAGAGGAGATCATACAAACTCCTCTTGGATCCTGTCTGGAGTCACCCACACCCCTCCCCCCCCCAAAAAAAAACTCAAGTTCTTTAAAAGATTAAACAAAGAATTACCATATGACCTTGAAATTTTAGTTATATTCGCCAAAGAAATAAAATATAGCCACATATATTATTTTACATGAATATTTATATCGACCTTTTTCATAAAAGCCAAAATGTGATATAGAAACAACATGAATGTCTCCACCAATTAATAAAGTGTAACATACTATTGCTGTCTATGGCGTATCGAATACGCCACAGGGAACTTACCAGGTTCTGCCATGCAGGTGGGATACTCCCCAGTAGCTTACCGGGGCTCTCCGAGAGGGATGCAGAAATCGAACCCGGGTCAGCCGTGTGCAAGACAAATGCCCTACCGGCTGTGCTATCCCTCCAGCCCTGCAAAAATATACAAATTAAAATATATTATCTATAAATATAATATATATTAAAATATTATAAATCACATATAAATTTTTTAATGTTGTATATGTTATATAAATATTATTTAGATATATGAAACGCTGTGCAGCCCCTGTAGCACGCGTAAGTGAGCACTGCAACTAAGAGTGAAATCCCCCGTGAGTACCAAAATCCCCCAGAGAGGAAACGAGGCCAGTGTAGACACCACGACCTAATAGGCCACCCCCACCCTCACTGCTGAGCACAACTCACTGTGTGCACGTCCCAGCGAAAGACCCTCCATCGCAACAGAAGGCAGGGCAGGGATAGATGAATATATTTAAGGTTTGGAGATTAAATAGAAAAAAGGATTAGGACCAACATTCTATTTCTTGTCCTATTTTTGACCTTGTGTGATTGTATCATTATGTGTAACTTTTTCCTGATTTCTGTAGATTTGCTTACTTCTTTCCTCATCCACCCCCAATTTACTTAAGTCTGTTAGTCACAAAATGATAAACTTCCCGGCCTGGTCCCTCCTACCCAGAACAGCTCCCAGCTCATCCCCCCATCCCTGCTGGGGCCTCTGAACTCCTCACCGGGTCAGCTCGGTCAGCACCCCGCCCCCACCCCCAGGGCGGGCACCAAGACAGGGAGTCAGCCTGGGGGTGGGGGGACCCCTGGGCGCAGATCCAGGCGCTGACGTCACCATCCCCGAGCGGAAGCTATTGCCCAAGCAGAGACATAGATGCCAAAGCACCGCACGTTTCTCAGCACCTCTCCCTCGGCTCAGAAAAGCGGTTTCCTAGACAGGACGCTTTCCTGAAGTTAAGTGCCACCTCTGAGCCAACCGGGGAGTTGGGCTGCGGCTGCCTTGATAAATCCGGTAAAACCAGCCTGAAGATGCAAAGCCTGACTCCCGGCTTTGCCCCCTGACTTTTGACCTATAATAAATCTTCCTCATCCTGTTTCTTAATTGTGAATAATATAATATCTACCTCACAGAAGCCGCTGTTGCAAGGCTGGAATGAGGTCATCCACGGGGAAATTTTCATCAATTAAAGCAGGATATCAAGACGAAAAGTCAGTGCCTGTGAGCAGCTTTATGGGAGGGAGCTGTGGGCCGCTAGGAGCCCTCCACCCACTCAGAGTAGCTACAGGCCTGTCTCTGCCTGAACCCAGCTACCATTTGCTCTGCCCCTGGGCACCTATCAGAACCCCCAGGGCAAAATAGGGAAGAAGTGCCTGTGCCCAGAGCATGCTGAACACTGCCTGCCATCTCCATTAAGATGATTATTCCAGGGGCTGGAGAGATTGCACAGCGGGTAGGGGGTTTGCCTTGCACACAGCAGACCTGGGTTTGATTCCCAGCATCCCATCCCCTGAATTCCACAAGCCAGGAGTAATTCCCAAGTGCAGAGCCAGGAGTAACCCCTCAGCATCATCCAAAAAATAAATAAATAAACCAGTTGATTATTCCAGAGCCCAGCAGAGCCTAGGACACTCAATCCTCAAAAGAACTCCTGAAAATAGATTCTACCTCATCCCTGACACACAGCAGGCAGAGCAGAAGGGTTGAAATTTAGCCATGTCACTTCTCTGCTTGATTTGCCCAAGCACTCCTGAAAGCACCCAGGTCCTTCACGTGCCTGGCAGCATCTCCCGGGCTGTCCGCCCGCCTTGGGAAGCACCAGTTCCTACCTCTGTCTCAGATCCTGCTGCTGTTGCCACTCTGCCTAGCATGCCCTCCTCTTTCACCTGTGTCCACTAACTCCTCACTCTTCTTCTAAATCCTTATTCAATTCTTAAGGAAAGGCCTTTATTTTTCCATTTATTTGTTTTTGCAGTGCTTGGTCTCAGGGATGGAACCAAGGCAAGCATTCAGCCATTGAGCTAAGTCCCCAATCCAGAAAGACCTTTCTGCTTCTATTGAACAGAGTCTGAATCCTCTTAGTTAATGCCTGTGATTCCTACATTACTACAGAGACCAAACTGTAGCCAATAATGTAACACCATAGAACTAGATAAATCCCTAGGTATTTACCTAAGAGTAATAAAGTATGTTCATATAAAAACTGTACACTAAATCTGCATAGCAGCTTCATTGTAAATACTAATAACTGTTGAACAGGCCTTAATCATACCATTGTATCCAGAAACAAAGCATAGGTACCTGCAGCAATTGTGATGAATCTCAAAGGCATCTGGTCTCAGGTGGTCACGTGTCTCTTTTTTGTTTTTTTTTTCTTTTTGGGTCACACCTGGAGATGCACAGGGGTTACTCCTGGCTCTGCACTCAGGAATTACTCCTGGTGGTGTTCAGTGGACCATATGGGATGCTGGGAATCAAACCCGGGTCAGCTGCATGCAAGGCAAATACCCTACCCACTGTGCTATCGCTCCAGTCCCAGTCTTATACTCTGTTCATGTGACATTTTTGAAAAGATCATATATAGTGACAGGGATTTGGTCGGTTCTTCTCTCTCCTGGACAGTTTCTAGAGATGTAAACATTGTTTCTGAATGACCCCACATTAGAAAGACTGACCTAGACTCTTCTACAACGCAGCCTCCAAACAAAACAAGCTGTCCCATAATAGCGTCCTTTACCTTTATACCAGGTCTGGAGCCATAGCACAGCGGGTAGGGTGTTTGCCTTGCATGCAGCCAACATGGCCGACCTGAGTTCAATTCCTCTGCCCCTCTCGGAGAGCCCGGCAAGCTACCGAGAGTATCTCGGCCACACGGCAAAGCCTGGCAAGCTACCCGTGACGTATTCTAATGCCAAACACAATAACAAGTGTCACAATGGAGACGTTACTGGGCCCGCTCGAGCAAATCGATGAACAACGGGAGGACAGTGACAGTGACAGTGACCTTTATACCAAGAAGGTTGGGAAGGCAGCAGCGCCAGCATGTGGCATGGTCCAGGCCAGGCCCACTGAGGACTTGGAGTGATGAGACAGGAAGTTCTGAGGAGGCTGACTGGGAACAGCGGCTGTCAGTGGGGCTATGCTGGCTCCGTGTGGGCTAAGTTGTCTCCTAAGCACTGTCAGCAGTATTTCCTGAGTGCAGAGTCAGGAATAAGCCCTGAGTATCCCAGTGTGACCCAAAAAGACATAAATAAATAGTAATATTCTAAGTCCAGAGAGATAACAACAGATGAAGCACACAGCTTGCGTGCAGGAGAGCCTGGTTCAATCCCTAGTACTATGTGGTTCCTTCAGGACTACCAGGATCAACCACAAGAACTGAGCCAGGAGAAGCCCTGAGCGCCACCAGGTGTGATCACACACACACACACACACACACACACACACACACACACACACACACACACACACACACACACACACACACACACACACCACAACCTTCCAGTCCCTCATCTAGCACAGAGAAGATACTAAAACACCTCTAAAGAACTCGATGACTGTGCCTTGATCTGGTCTGAACTCAGGGTGGTCCTGGCCCTCTAACATCCTTAACTTTAACATCTCCTCCCAGGCATCTCCTCCCAGACCTGGACAGTGTGACCCCCCCACTTTCCTCTAGCCCTAAGTCCAGCCTTGAGGAACAAGTCTGCTTTGCTTGCACAGGCCTTCCCTTCCCGTGGGCTGCTCCAATAGCAGCCTGAAGGGGCTGGGCACACTCCACAAGCAGCTGTTTCGCCTCCTCTCCAGCTGTACCCTGGGCACCCACAGAGGGTCTTCATCAAGCTCCCATCACAGCCTGGGCCTGTGTCACAGATTCTCCACCCACTTCCCCTGGAAATCCAGGTCTTCGGTCTGGTAGTTGAGGGGTAGCTTAAAATGTGAAGGTATCAGCAATGTGGTGAGTTCGCTGCAGTTAACTTAATTTTCAAAGTACCACTTTCAGTTGATTTGGTTTGATTCTGAGATGACAACCAGAATTGCTTAGGACTGTCCCCTGTTCTGTGCTCAGCGGTCCTGTGCTCAGTGCTGGGAATTAAAGCTGAGACTCCCACGGGTGAAGCATGCATTCGGCCAGTCAAGCCACCTCCCTGCTCATGAAAGTACATTTTTATTTACTTTGTTTTATGTTTTGGTTGTTGGGCCACACATGACTGAGCTCAGAGTTTACTCCTGGTTCTATGCTCAGAGCTCACTCCTGGCAGTGCCAAATATAGTGCCAAGATCAAACTGAGATCAACTATGTGCACGGCAAGAGCCCTAACTCCTGCACTATCTTTGGCCTCCGAAGTATATATATATTTTTAAATTTTTATTAGTGAGACATCATGAGGTACAGTTGTAGACTTACAAATTTTTGTGCTTGGGTTTCAATTATACAATGATCAAATACCCATCCCTCCACCAGTGCCCATTTCAAAGTATATTTTTATCATAAAAATTTGTTAAATTTAAAAAAAATTTAGCCTCATATTTCATTTAATGGACATGTAAATAATGTCCTCTGTAAACTAATTTGAGATGAGGAAAGCAGTGTAAAGAAGGAATTGTTGTATCCATGGTGATAAGTGAATACCCATGCCCATTTTTTTAAATAGTAATTTTATATCAAAAGGGGGAAAGGCCACATGATTTCTATTTGTATATTTGAAAGAATTCAAGATAGAAATGACTTTT